GTGAATCTTTTAAAACATAATTTTTTGCATTGTCCTTTTATAAGGTCTGTTTGGTTTGTCTCAAGCCTGGGACTTAGATCAGATGCTAACTTACAGCGGGGCATTAAAGAGTGGTTGCAGGTCTGGATTTGCAGACATAGGATACACAAGAAGGATATCGATTGTAATTTGTTTCTACCTTCTTTCATATTAGATACAACCCTTTTTTTTTTTTTTTTTGGAGACCAAAGCTGTTTTGCAGGAAAGTCATACCAATAAAGGGAACCAATCATACAAGCCATAAGGAAGTGTGCAACTTTTTTTTATGCAACCTGAAGGAATGAGGAGACAGAAGCTAAGAATAAAGCAGCAAGAGCACATTTGGAGCATCCACATGGAATCAACTTCAGGCAATATGAAGAAATACAAGGGGTGCAGCAAGGTTGGAGAATGTTATTCAAGCCTCATCGAACCAGAAGCAGAATACGAGAGAATGAGTATCAAAATCTCTTTTCATTGGCATGAATATCAAAATCGGAGGTACAAGCTTCATATCAAGATTGAGACTTCAGGTACAACTTCAAGCCCTATGTGATGCGCAGGTTTTCATGTAAACGCAATGCTGCATCCAGATATGTCATGATCATCCTCTCAAACTACGTGTACCCAAAAAAATTTTCCTTGTGTATTATACTGTGTAGGCATCTTATCCTCAATATATGGAATTGCTTATCATCAGGGAAAATGTGGCCAGGTAAACTAATCAATTTATCAAATAGATTGTACTCAAAGTGAATAAATTAGAAGGAAAACAGTTGTAGTATATTCAGATAATCCAATAATACATTCAAACATTCCTTAGACTAGAAAGTATCGACCAGTAACTTAATGTCTCATAAGGCACCTGTTGCTTCTCAACTCGCAGCTCCATTGTTTTCATTCCTTGCAAACAGAGCCAACATTCGAATGGAGCTAAGCCCGAACCCACTGCATTTTGTAAAAAATACATCTCTTTTGCCAAACTTTACAAGATGACAATCAAAGGCCCAAAAAAAAAAAAAAAAAAAAGAAGTCGAGGAAACTCAGTGCTGATCCACATGATTAATTGAATAAAAAATTATGAAACAGATGGAAAATGAAAATGAAATAAAAAATAAAATAGAGAATAGCTCACAACATAATAACAAACTTATCGTGTGAAGAGTGACTTAGACCAGGCCATTTGAAAACAAGGAATAACGCAGGAAAGAGCAACAAGAGTATTTCATTCTTAATTATAAGAATCACAAGAACACCAATCATCAGCAAAATTTGCCATTGAATTGAAATTTAGTTCACAAATTCCTGTACATAACTAACAGATTGACAAAAGTGGCGCACAAATAAATCAATATCTTCAAAATCATAAATGTGTCAAACACAAGAATAAGAGACCCAACCTTTCGCCTTTCACAGCAATGACACCAGCCATGAGATAACTATGTCCACCAATAAATTTGGTAGCTGAATGCATAACAATATCTGGAGAAGGGAAAAAATTGTAGCTGTCACTTAATCGAAATTTCTTTTTCCTTTTTTGTTGTTAAATGTAACATACATAGGGTGTTTTAAACAAATTCTTAGCATAGCTGAGTTTTTAAAACATATCTATATATAAATATATTGCCCCCAAATATTGCTTCAATTCACACAACAAGTTAAAAGAATTAAAAGTATCATGAGACCAAATGTGACATTTTAAGTACTCCCAGTGGCTAGTTCATTTTAACAAGCATGCAAGTTGTTAAATCTCATTATACTTCATTATATTGCAATGGTTATATGAATACCTGCCCCAAGTTCCAAGGGTTGGCATAATACAGGAGACATTATACTATTGTCCACCAATACAAGAGCACCATGTGCATGAGCCATCTCTGCTATTTTCTGGACATGAATCAGCAAAATGAAGGAAATTTTTTTAAGTTGAATTAAACCACCCAAAAGAATTCCATACTACATATCATACATGTTGTTTGAGGTGAGCTCCATGCAAGAAGTAGATAAGAATTTTATAAGCATAGGCCTTTTGTTCTTCACTTATGCAAGAAGAGACAACAAAAACTACTGATTTAATAAATTATGCCAGTAAGTTGAACGGCAAAAGGAGGGATAAGTCCCGAGGGCTCAATGATATTAGAAAGGGCAAGAGGCAACTACTAACCCTGTACTGTCCAGGCAGTTAGAGAGAAGAATGAATTGGGTAAAATACAGGATGGTGGGTCCAATGAAAGGGATAGGAGGTATAACAGTGTTGGAAAGTCTAGCCGCTCAAAGTGCAAGGAGTGGTCTCTGTGAACGTGGCTGTTTTACCTTCATTTTCCACACTTGTAACTGTCTACCAAGACTTGAAATACAATCTATGCTGAAACGCAATATTGTGAAACTTAAAATATTCAAGTTCAAATACAATATATACCAAAATAATAATGTGCTTTTCTTTATAATATTTGAGTTTATTTTGCAAATCGAGAATAATCACATCAAAGGTGAGTAACAAACAGCAAAATCCAATAAACTTCTCTAGCCAGAAAAATTGAGACCAATCACATTACCAAAAAAACTAAAATAACTGCAGCAGCAGCAGCAATAATAATAAAACAACATAGTTTACACAAAAAATAGTAATCTAGACCTCAACTATATATTGTGACAAAAGCAATCACTCATGCTTCAACTTTCTGTATTTGCAACAAAGACAGTGCCTTAGCAAATAACTAAAGTTTAATGTAAGATGCTTAGGCCTTATAACGGCTCAAAAGAAGACAACAACAAAAACAATACGCTTCCAACTTATGAAAGAAAGCAGCTTACTCGAATATCAGATATTTGTAACCGAGGATTGGTAGGACTCTCCAGCCACACTAACTTAGTCCAAGGTCCAATAACAGAGGCTACCTCCTCTAGATCACTTGTATTTACTCGTCTGTGCATGCAAGCATTACAACCTCATTATCAATGGAGGCCATAGTTCTTGGAATCAAATAAGCAATCCAACAATAATTTGCTTCATAATTCAATACTCCACAGGAAAAAACATATGAAAAGATGAAAATCACACTTACTTCACCACAACTCCGGACTTTGGAATTACACGGGACAGTAGTCTATCTGAACCTCCATAGATGTCATCTCCAGCAACAATTTCATCACCTACATGACATTATACAAGTAAATGACAATAAAAGCAACCAGTCCAGAATACATAATCTCCCATGAAAACTATGAGAATATATGCACAAGTTGTCTCCGCCATATCCATATAATGAAAATAAAATTAGATGTATTCCAACATATGTAAAGTTCAATAAAAAATTATATATTCACAACCACATAACACTATAATCTCAGACCACAATAGATGCTTAAATAATGTAAATGTCATCTCTAGCATGGTATAAGAAAAAAATGAAGACAAAATGTAAAAAAATCATTTGATATCAATATTTAAAGAAGGCTTAATAATTTAAAAGCTTGAATTTTTATTAAAAAAATGACTTTGATTTCTTGTACTGTCATGTACTTATTTATTGCACATAATATTTGAATTGAATATATCTACAAGCTTCCAAATTTACTTTTCAGCCTAAAAAATGCTGAAGTTTATTGCTGACCATGATGAGAATTCTTGATTGAGTGTTGATTACGATTGATTAGGAATGACCGTACATAATCGGGGAGATTTTATTTTGTAATTTTTCTGTCTTTATTAGCCATTATTATGTTGTATTAGGATTGCATTATAAATAAGAGGCTCCACTAAGTCAAAAACACACTGAATATTTTTTCCTCACATTCTCTCTTTTCTCATACTCTCCTATGTGGAGCACCGAATGGCTTATTTGTGAGACATATTTGTACATATAGACAGCGCCAAAAAAGACAATTCATTTAACCAATTTTATTACAAATTACTTTAAACAGATATACTTTCACGCTTGCATATTTTACAAGCTGAGATACAAAAACAAAACAGACTAAGATGAGGAAATGCACCAGATTTAAAAAGTTGACAAACGGCACTCAAAGCAGCCATTCCACTACCGAAGCAAAAGGCTCTATCTGCTTTGTCAAGCTTTGCCAGTAACCTGAGGATACAAAATATACGAAGTAGAAGAGATGGAACAAAGAAACAGATAAAGACAAAATCAAGACAACAAATCAGGTCAAACCTTTCTAAAGCATCTCGGGTAGGATTTCCACTTCTAGTATAATCGTAGGGGCCATTTTCTGTTGCAGAAGGCTGCATGAAGAAGTATAGAAGACAAGTGCCATATGAAAAGAGTATCATGGAATAAAGATACTAAATACAAAATAACTAAAGAGCTCAGCATGTACAGATCAAGTTTTCACCTGCTTAAAAGTAGCAGTTTGGTAAATTGGTGTACTGACCGCTTCATAAGGATCAAACTCATTATCAAAATTCATTAAAACTGTAGAAAGACCAGGCTCACAGGACTGTTCTTCTGCCAAAAAAAAAAGTTGAAACTATTTACGTATAAAACAAAATATATACACACAGTATCAACACAAGAAACATAGCAAAACTACTTGAGCACTCCGCAATACTGTCCACCAAAGCCGATGCGCCCACAGCCATTTCTCTATCAAGTGAACAACTCAGTCTGAACCCCTTTGCACAAATCAGTCGGTTTGACTTCAAATTTGCTGACTCGTAAAATCCCAAGCTCTCCCACATATTTCCAGCAGTTGTGCTCTGAAACAGAATGAGAAATGAAAATGTTATGCATACAAACTACGAATTGGAATCTTAATTTTATCAAGGTCTTGTTTGTCTTCATAAAAGTTAGATACAAGAGTCAGACTCTCCCAGCATATGAATTATTGTCACCATAGTTATACTTCCAGTAACTACAACAAGAATGCATTATTTTGGTGAAGATGCCAACAACTCAGTGAATACCAACAATAACCGTACAAGGTGCATAAAGTGTTTGAAAGAATGGTCATTGTTACCTTAGCTTGGAGATCAATAGCCACTTGAGTAACAAAAGGCTTGAGAAAAACTGAGGCTGAAGCCATCACAGATGATCAAGAAAGAGCTAGGTTTTTCTTGTGCTCTTCAAGGCCGTGGAGCTTTGGCTTGGTATGTAGTCCCAATTTTATGCATCCAGATTACCTAAACAAGAATTTCCTGAGCATCTCTGCTCATCACCATCATCTTAGCATTTCGAATCATACAAGACACCACAGAACACCATGACTTAGGGAACCTAAAACATAACAGAACCATTTCAAAGCCAACAAAACAAGGTGCCAATAACGTAACAATGCACAGTAATAATTCAGTAGCAATGTGATAAATTCACCTTTGCTGACACCATACGTATAAAGCGAAATCTAGAGGAATGGTTGAAATGGGTAAGGCACCTTTTGTTGGGCAGAGGGTTGACTTAGAAGTTACTACTAGTTTGGAGAAAGGGATAAAACTCTCAGTGGCCATAGGGTTGCTGTTAGCTGTTAGCTTTTACTTTAGGGTTATTTTGGGGACTTTGTTGTGCACTTTTTGTGATATTGGAAGCGTTGGAGTCTCTAGGTTATGATATGGATCATTTTGTACTTAGAGAGTGGGAGAGGAGTGCTCTAGCTGCTCGAAAGCCAGGAATTGTGACTGGTTTGTGGCCTTATTTTGTTGTTGTACTCCTATTCTTATCATAACAGAGGAGCTTTCTTGTGATGATTAATCACGGTCCAGAAATTTTCCATTAATCTTTACTTCAGGTTATATCACAATGCAACAAGGTATCATGCAATTTACTAAAATGTATAGCACCAACCAATCCAGCTCAAAACCACCACAACAAGCAACAATGATAACAGTCAATTCAAGACCATATTAGAACAAATCAAGCAAAACCTGCAGAACCAATAGAACATATACAAAGCCCATTTGATTAAAGCAAAATGCAAAGCTTCCAATGATCAATTAATTGATTCATTAAAACTTCAACATCAAACCATCTTATTCAATTCATGCAAACTACAAAGCTTCCCACAGATTGACAACACATCTGATCCCAGCAAAGTCTCTGATTCTCTCCCTCTCAACAGCAGTGGATAACAGGGGATGATGCCTGTGAAAGATGCAAGTGATGATGATGCCAACTTGGAGAGAATGACAATCCTTGAGTTGAGGATAAACGTGCTCAAAGGTTTGCTTCAATTTTTGTTGGTTTCGATTGGTTTAAATCAAAATAATGAATTTAATTTGAAATATTAAGGCTAAGCATACTTCTCATTTTCATTTTTTTCTTCCTTCCTCTTTTTTATAATTTGCATTTATAAGAAGATTCCTCATTATTAAGAAACCATTTAACCATGAATTTGTGCAAGTTTGAACGCTATGCATAATTAATAAGAATACATTGTTTGGACTTTGGGCGCCTTGCATTGGCATGACCATAAGACTGTTATTATCTGTAACATGCACCCAAAAGAGGGGGGAAGGTGAGGAGATTCATTATATTAAATCTCAAATTAATGTTACTTAAAGAGAATATTATTTTTCTCTGCTACAGCTGCAAGGTGACTCGCTTTGATGGTTATATATATGTCAATTAAATTTCTTCAATTCAATCCGCTATGATTCATGAATAACTATGAAAACTATCATATCCAAAATAAAATATCCATACCTCACAGGCAATAAACACCGGTTTGTAAGTAGCATGACTTACATTACATCACAATCTGTGTTAATGATTATAATGAAATGTAACTCACTCTTTATCAAACAGTGGAGGTTCCCACATGTGAAATTATAGAAGATCATTCTTAGTTTAGTCACGTATCCTTGATACCCACTTGCCATTTCTCATCCTCTATTTTACGGAACGAGACGAAGTAACAAAACCAACCAGAAGCAAAGGAAATGTGGAAATTTGTTAGTTGTAAAGTGCATTGCACAAGGTGGGCCTATCAATTAAAAAGCTTTCTCTGAACTCTTATCAAATTAGTTATCTATTTTGATCCCTTATACCATTCCCCTGCTCTTTCTCAAAATTAAACATCCCACTTTCACCTCTTCTATTCATTATTTATTTAAACTACAAGCTTCAAGCTACTCAGCCGGCAAATCAGAAGCAAAAAAGGAGGCGGCGAGCCAGAAACAACAAACCAAAGGACGTTCAACAGAGAACAGAAGGCAGAAACGAACCTGAAGAAGAACGAAAACCAGAACAGAATAATAGAACCGAAAACCAGAACCACGACGAGCAACGGCGGAATCGAGCAGCAACCACGAAGCAGAAGGCAGTGGGTGAAGCAGAGAGGGCGAGTAGTGAAACAGAGGGAGCTAGCCGGCGGGGAGCAGGGGTTCTGATTCTCTAAAGTAAAAGAGGAAATATTTGAGGACTTTAATGTAACGCTTCTGATTTGATAGAATAGCTTAAAGATACTATGACTTGTACTAAAAAAAAATGATAAAAGGTAAGGAAAACTGAAAGTAAATTGAAAAATATCTGAGGATGCGTTGCGGGAACTCCTGCGTATCAAAGCAATTACCCCATGGTCCTAAGGTTCGAGTTTCCTTTTTTTTTTTTTTTTTTTTTTTTTTGCAATCGTAATTAATTTGTTTCTGTTCTTTTTTAAATAAATGTTTAATGATGAATAGTGTAAAATAAGCTACATAAGGTTGGCCAAAAAAAAAGGCTACATATAAAAAAAAAAAAAAGGAAGTGATCTGAAGGCACAACGACTTGTACACTTCAATGGAGGGGGAAAAAAAAGTAAATGATACACAGAGCAGGGGAGGGGGAAAAAAAAGTTGACATTAAAAGGAAAATACTGTTGTTAAGCGTAACAAACAACCAACGGAACACCCCAAAAGTCAAGAATATAAAACAAAACAATATACCTTAAATCATCAATCAAAATAACTCCTAAAATTCCTCTTGTATGCAAAAAATAACAACTCCTTAAATAAACAAGTAAAAGAACAAAGGAAAACTAGCTGGTCAAAAAAAAACAGAGGAAAACTAACCATCATCTAGCAAAACATGAGTATAATGCCTCCAAAACTATAGATAAAATTTGAAAGAACTGCAATAAGTTCTCATGAAAAGAATATATTCATAAGAAAATTCTTATAAGAAATAAGTAGTTTTATTATTTTTTATTCTAAAATTTGTTATTATGAGTTTCTTAGTTGTCGTTGAGATTTTTTGTAAATTTGTTTCTTTTATGAGATTTCATTACAATTCTCTCATGAAATTTTAGCAAAATTCGTTTACCTCAAAACCAATTAAAAAACGGAGGTCAAGGTAAAATTATTTTTTTAAAGTAAATCTAAGGTCATATTATTACTTTATTACAGTGGTTAGTTTGCTATCCATCCTAGATCATTTTTCTTTTCTTTTTTTTCCTTTTTATCAGCATATCATTTTTCTAACTTTATCAATTACATTGTGAAATAGATCATGAAAGTTTTATACTCCCTCTTCTCTTTACTATAAGTTTTAAATAATTAATTTATGGATAATAAAAATTAGTTCAAATAATTTTGAAATAATAAATAAGTTAAAAATAGACTATTTTAAAATAATAAATAAGTTAAAAATAGACTTTTATTTTCAAATGTATTTTTACAATAAATGAGAAAAAGATGAAAGACGATAAGAGAGAAATAATTAAGGAGAATATTAAAAAAATACATTAAATGTTAAAACAAATCCAAATTAAAACTTATAAAATGGACCACATCCCTTTCCAAATTTAAAACTTAGAAATAGGATCAAAAGGAGTATTCAAGTATTCTAATATTTCAATCAAAAGATCATATGACAGATACGTTTAATTCAGCTTGTAATATACTAATCTCATATAGAATTAAATAAAACTAAATTTTAAAAAATCGTTTTGAATATAATGATGTTTTTCTAGAAAAAGAAATACTCCTGCGTAACAAAGACCTATGGTATTTTAAATGGCATATTCACTCATGACTATGCGGAATCAACAAAGAAAAAGAGTACAGCCAAACAAGGTATATGCGGTGGTTCTCCTGCGCAGCTTCAAAGACTTTTATTTTCGTCATCCTTTGATGATGTCAGAACTACTGAACCCCCAACCAATGTTTTAAAAGCCGGACCGGAAGTCGAACCAGAAAGATCAATGGGTCATGGTTCAATCGGTCGGATCGGTCGGACCGTTCGGTCAGACCGGTGACGCAATAATTAATTTAAAAAAATATTATATACATATAATTAGTATATGAAAAATATCAAATTATTAAATAATTTAGAAATGCATTTAAATAATCTAAAATTATAATAAAATCATTGAAAATGGACTAAAACCTTATATTTAATTTTATGTATGTTTAAAATATTTAATGATATTACAAATTATCAATTCATTCAAATCAAAATATTTTTTTTAAAAGATAGATCAAATATCGAAACAAAAAGACTAGCGACTCACGATTTTAACACCACAATATATGAAATTTTCAATGAAATAATACTATATGGTTATAACTAGTCTAAAAATATATTAGGATATTTAAGGGGATCAATTTTTTTTATTTTTCTTCTATTTTTTGAAAATTTTTAGTATTTTTCAGTCAGGCTAAAAAACCGTCCAGTTTTCTGAAAACCGTTCCGGTTCCCGGTCCAACTCCGGTTTCCGGCTTAATAACGGTTCAACTCCGGTCCAATCCGGCTCAACTATGTGAACGGTTTTTTGGTCCAAACCGAGCCGTTAACGAGTCCGGGTGACGGTTCAACCGGTCCGGTCCGGTTCTTTAATCATTGCCCCCAACGACGAATACAGATAGTTCAGGGCTTCGATTTATTTTATTTTATTATTAATCGCTATTAAGAGTTGCAAATTTATTTTTACTCTGAAATTTGTAATACTATACGACTCTCTCCGGTCTTTAATATGAAAACGACTTAACTAATTAAAATAAATTTAAAAAATTAATTAATTTAATTATTTGTAATCAAAATGAGTTCATTTTTCTAAAACATTCTTTTTAATAATGATTATGTTTGGATAAAATCTCGCAACATGTGCAATCAATATGGTACTTTAAAAAATAAGAGAAAGAATTACAAATTTAAGGGACCAAATAAATTGAGATCTTATATTTATAACCAAGTCAAATCTCCAACTAGCTTTTATATTAAAAGAAAAAAGTAGTATTTTTTTAAAAAAATAAAATTAATTTGAAAATATAAGAAAGATTGTGTTGCAAAAGTTAATAACCTGTTTGGTTCAATTCCATGAAAGTTCATTACATGCAATCCTGATGTAATGGGCTGATTCAATTGTTTGGTTGGGTTTTTGTAATGTAAAAAGAATTACATATTGTAATCCTAATTACCTTAAATGGATGCACGAGGATTACATAGCTAAGACTCATAAATGGGGATGCAGACTTCTTGTAATGAAGTAGAAAATATTTTATTACCCTTATAATTTTTAAAATTGACCAGATTGCCCTTAATGAAACACTCATAAACCCTATCAATTGCTACCCATTGTGTTCACACCGCTGCCGTCTTCCTTACTGCGGCCAACGATCATCATTGCGCTGGAAAGGTAATCACTTCTTGACTCATCCTTGTGGATTTCTTTTGCATTCGTTCTTCATCAATTTTTGCATGCGTTATATTCTTTTCTAATTTGTAGAGATAATAGACTAATATTAAATAGATTTGGTACATGTGAAGAGTATGCTTTTTTTTACTGAATATACCAATAGACCTATACCTATTAAATATAGATAAAATTTTAATTATCAAACCTGCCTTATACTTTAATTAATATATATATATGGGTACGAGCCAATTTTATGGTTTTTCCTATTATATATATAAATTTATATTTTGATATGTTATACATATGAACGGATAGGGGTAATTTGTCTATTATTTTTCATTATATGTATGGATATGGTTATTATACATTTGGAGGAAAAAATAGACAATTTTAATTATATATATATATATATGAGCTTGTAGATAAGGGTAATTTTGTCTTTTGGTATATTATTTTTACCTATTCCCATGTTCTTTGTAATCCAATCAAACATTTTTGTGTCTATGCATCATCTTTCTTTAATGACGTACCAAATAAACTCATGTAATCATTATTACATTACATTCCATTACATTCTATATCATTCAATGAACCAAACGGGCACTAAGAGTATCCAAACAAAAGGCAGCTGATGTGTGGAACATGATAAGTGATTTGTTGTTCTTAAAAAAATCTAGATATACTAAAAGGGAAAAAACATTGTGAGTCTAATGAAAGTAATATAATTATTAAAATGTTCCAATAATAAATGAGCATTAATCTCCGTATTTAAAAAAAATGAGCGTGAATCTTATTATCATGTTTTATATTGGAACTTATCATTTAGGGAAAATTGCAAAAAAAGACCTTGGAATTGCAAAAATACAGATAGAGACTCTTGACAACTTCACTTTGGGTTTTGACAATAATAATATGTCATGAAGTTGTCAAAACCCAAAGTGAAGTTGTCAAGGGTCTCTATCTGCGTTTTTGCAATTTCAACATCTTTTTTTGCAATTTCCCCTATCATTTATTTATGATGAGACTTTTTAATAATTACTTCTCTGATTCTAAATATAAGACCTATTACACTGTAAAATGAGTATTATATTTAAAACCTAAAGAGTATTTTTTTTAAACAACACAGTGATTTTTTCAATACAGAAAGCTTCAAGCTTACAACCTTTAAAAATGACAATAAGAAATAATGACATGAAAAACAATCTATCTATCTATCTATTTATCTACTTACAATATGAAATCTAGTGATGCTCGAATGAGGGAAAACGGGTTTTGGGGGTTTGCGGGTCAGTGCCCAGTGGTCCACTAACCTACTATTGGGCTGTCTAATGATCCAGATCCAAGCAACTCTTCCACCTCCACCTCCCCCTCCTTGTGATTTCCTCGGTCTCCCTAAACCAGATCTAAAGCTTAGTAATTGTTAGACGTTGTTGAACTTCAACCATCGTCAACCACCATCTTGACACGATAAGCCATGAGATCTGAGAAGGGATTTCGAATTCGAAGTCCAAGCCAGATGAAGAAAGTGAAGTCACGATTCTTCTTGGTTCTTAGAGATTGCAAGGGTGTCATTATCGGTAGTAAAGCTACTAATAATATATTAGTGTGGCTAGTTAATTCCATTGGTTATATATCTTTAACATCCATTAAATAACTCTTAATAATTAGGCCGTCCCTAGTGTTACTGACTTAATTCTTTGATGTACTTAATCATAACATCCATTTCATCATATTTAAATTCCCCAAGCCCTACATCTATCATAACCTTGAAGTTCCAAACTTGAAGTTCTATCATCAAGTGCATTGGTTTCCTCATATTATGATTC